AAAGAGGAGAAGCCTCCAAACATGTCATCAATCACTGCATTCGCACTTTTGCATCGTTGGGATGCCCAAATGAAATAAAAACAGATAATGGTCCTGCATACACTAGCACAGCTATGTCAGAATTTTGCGCTAAGTGGCAAATTACCCACAAATTTGGGATCCCTTATAACAGTCAGGGACAAGCCCTGGTAGAGAGAGCTAACTTAACGCTAAAAACAGCGTTAGAACGACATTTGATCAAAGGGAAAAGAACCCCTAGCCTCCCGGTGATGCAAGACACTCTTAATCTCTGTCTTTATACTCTCAACTTCCTCAATCTCTCCGGCACCCCTGCTATGACGGCAGCGGAGCGACATTTTTCCTCCCCCCCTTCCCCTGATTCTCCCAAACCACAGGTATACTACCGCCAACTGCCAGACCCCATTTGGAAGGGCCCTGCTGGTCTCCTCACCTGGGGTCGCGGCTACGCAGCTATCCAGCTATCCAGCTTCCAGATCGTGTCCTGTGGGTTCCTGGACGACACGTTAGACCATACCACCCCAAGGTAGAAAAATCACCACCTGCAGAAAAATCACCACCTGCAGACATATCATCATGATTCGTCTCGTTGCCTTGCCGACCCTCTTCCTCCTTCTTGCTGCACATGCCTCCAAGGTCTCCATTCCATCTCGAGTGATGTACTTCACGCCAGGTACTCCCCTCCTGCTGACCTGCACCGCATCTGGGGACATTTCCCCCCCCTATCTCCGATGGTCAACACTCCCTCAGCCATGGCTCCGTATCTCCAGCAATGCTTCTTTCCAGATCAACACCTTTGAACTCCCCCTGCCTAACCAAAACTAAGCAAGCAGGCTTCATTCAACTAACTCTCATATACCATACCCAACAACCACAGAAGTGCCTTCCTACCGGAAAAACCTGCCAAAAGATGAACTCAAAAACCATTTGCTATGATCCCAAGACGGCTGTTCGTCTCAACGTTACCTTATGAACGGGACTTCCAAGAACCTCTGGCAGATCTGATCCTGAGGGGGAGGGAAAACTTTATTACCTAAACCACACCACCATGCTCAAGGACGGTACTAACCCAATTGTTTTAACCTTTGATGTTTGTATTGCTTGTTCTAAACCAGGGGGTATTCATGCGGGTCGGTTGACTGGAAAACAACATACGCTCACAATCATAAATATTTGTGTCCTACACCCATCAACTGGGCCATAGGGAACCCCAATCAATGGGTCCCTTGTGGAGGTTCCATCGAGTGCTCGGGTTGGTCTTGTGTCTGTGTTTATACTGGGGGAGGGTACTTGGGCTGCAATCATCTGTCACATTTCAAACAAATATCAGGGTCTACCACAGACAATAAGGTAGAAATCACCATCTCCAGACAACACCCTACCTTGGATACTTATGGTATAGGGATTGATGGCACAGGATCGGATCCAAACACTTACATTACCATAACAACCGAAATCATATATGAAGGTAAGGAAACATCATTAGGTTGGTCGGTATACAATAATTTGAGGAAATTAGATAAAGCCCCTGATACCAGTGTTATTGCAAAAAACATGTTCATGGATATGGCAGAAAAAATTGCAAAAGGTACATGGGATAACTCCTACCAGACTTGGACAGCACCTGACAATGCTACCACCACACCTGCCAAGTTCAACACCTCCCTCCTGCCCTATCTCAATGACACAACATCTTCCCAAATTTGGACAGCCCCAAATAACATGTATTGGATTTGTGGTAACCTAGCCTATCCGTCCCTTCCTGCAGATTGGCAAGGGTCATGTGTATTGGGGTGGATAAGACCTTCCTTTTTCCTCCTCCCGATCTCCATTAAGCAAGAACTAGGCATCCCTGTGTATGATACATTATCCCGCAGGAAAAGAAACACCGATAATGCCTTTGCAGGCTTCCCCTGTCAATCAGAACATACAGGGGATACCTGGACCTAACCCCCACATATATATGATTAATAGAATCATTCGTTTACAAGCTGTTTTAGATTTAGCTGGCCAATGAATAGATAAGGCTCTAAACACTCTAGCAACTGCTACAGATTACAAATTACGCACAGCTGTCTACCAAAATCGCTTGGCTTTAGATTACATACTAGCCAAAGAAGGAGGGGTGTGTGGTAGGTTCAATCTTACGAATTGTTGTCTTCAAATTGATAAAGTTGGCAAAGTAGTAGCACAATTAACAACTGAGATGCGACAATTAACCTATAATCCTAATCAAGTATGGCAAGGTATTGATCTTAAAAATATTTTTAGTTCCTGGTTTCCAAAACTACCAGGATTACAAGCTATAGTAGCTCTCATAGGTATGATTGCTGTAGGATGCGTTATTCTTCCATGTGTGTTACCAATTTTTATTCGCACTATCTCCAATAGTCTATCCTTGTTAGCTGAAAAGCATGCCATTGCACAGGTTAATGCCCTCTGGGAAAAGGAACCTCTGTACAAAGTCAAACCCTCAGAAGACCCTGATGCGTACGCTCGCACAGATTTTCGCATGGGCAGTGACGAAGATCCAGAAGAAATTTCTCTCTATAAAACTAAAACAGAGGAGATGCAGTAATAAATTAGCTTGTATAGTTTCGGTACATACCAGGCCTCAAGGCCTCAAGGCCTCACGTAGGCTGAAGGCGTGTACCAGGAACATCAATCAACAACACGTCATCATGGGCAAATAACTGGAGTGCAAACGCTAATTGGCTACTTTGTACCTTTTAAACTGACCTTATGCACTGTAATTGGATATAACTATGTGTCCACTAATATTTCTACTCATGTAACTTAATGATTGGATAGAATTCACCGCTTATGACTTATCACTGTGTGTTTTTAATAAAAGAGCTTCCCGAACTTGTGATCGGGGCAGCTCATCCAAGATAGAACCTGCGTTGGTGTCTTTCTTGATGCATTCGACCACCCAGTGGGCAGCCTTCCAAATGCGGAGCAAAGCCGCAATAAGGAACTGACTGAATTGGATAAAATCCTAACAGGCACTGAAGAGAAGTTGATTAAAAAATATATGGTTATTTATTAGGAATGAAATTAGAGGAAGAGCAAATAAAATAATGATTGCATGGGGGGAAATCTTTGGATATTGAATAGACTTGGATAAATGGCAGATATTATGGTCTAGAAACTATAAATTAACTATGTCAACGGTCTATAAAGAGAATTTGTATGTTTTACAGGTGGCATCTACCCCCAACAAGAATTGCCAAGATGTTTAAAGATAAGTTGATGAAGTGCTGGAAATGTCAGAAGTCACCAGGATCATACTACCATATGTGATAGACATGCACAGAAGCTAAAAAGTATTGGAGTAGAATACACATGTGGCTGGAGAAAATGATAAAACAGTGTATCGACTTAAAACCAGAGACATTTCTATTGGGAATTTTGCCTGAGGGTTATAACAAGGAGTCAACGTATTTGATTATCAATGTATTAACAGCAGCTAGGATTGTATTTGCACAAAATTGGAAAAATGAGAAAATTCCAATGGATGAGGAAAAAAATTAAGAAAATAATGGAATGTACAGAAATGAGTAGATTGACAATGGCAATTAGAGAACAAGAAGAAAAAGTATTATAAAATTTGGAATTTATTTTATAAATGGCTGGATAGAAGAGTAAGAAATTGAAATATATAAGTACAGTATAATATACTATTGTTAATAAACGAATGAGTTAGATAAAGAAAATGAATGTGAAATATATCATTGAAAGACAATAATTACAATGTTAAGAATAATATAAGTGATACACGCGATATAAAATACTGGTTAGAACGATTATAAACATATATAAGTAAAATATGTATGATAATGTTATTATGTGAACAAAGATATATGTACCCAACTGATACACTGTTGAATGAATAGAAAGGTTTTATTTGTTTGTTTATAAAAATAAAAAAGTTTTTATAAAAAATAAAGTAAAATTTTAAAAAAGGATTCATGCTAGGCTTTCCCAGAGAACTTGTATGCCACCTATCTTGCTAAAGGCAACTCAGGGTGAATAATTTATTTTTATTTCTTTATTTAAAACATTTATATAGCTGCCCATCTTATACCAAATTTTTCTTATATCTAAATTTTTCTTTTTGTAACTGTAAAGATAATTTTGTAATCACATCTGCATTTTGCTGCAAGAAAATAGATCTTTCTTTTTTTCCTGCATCTTTGTCTTTCTTTCTTTCCTCTATATTATTTTTGTTAGTTTTGTCTTCCCTATACATTTATAAAGAGAGAGAGAGGGACGGAGAAAGGGGGGGGAGGGGGGAGGGAAGAGGAGCTGCCCGCTGGAGGCTGCTGCCTGAAATTGACAGCTTTTTGTTTGCTTCCTAAGTAGCTCTGGCAAGCATGCTAGGCGAAGAGACAGCTCTAGATGATTCTTTTCTCTGTGTATTCCCATTATGTGCCCTCTCTTATAGCCCCTTCATCTCCCGTGATTGTAAAATATCCATTTTCTCCTTGTTAATTATCCTAGCACCAGGGTGAATGTTTCAAAGGGCAGGGGATGGGGAAAGGGGCAATGTCCTTTTATCCAGCTTCCTTGTGAATCACTTCTGCCATCACTCCCTGCCATTAGGACTCATCTGACTATTTGGGGTTATATCTGTCTGATGCAGTCAAGCAAAATAAATTTGAACCATAAACACAGATGAAGTCATGTCATTTTTTTTCACTTAATGCCCACTTTTGTCAAACTGCTGGTCCCCACTGTGGTCTCTAAATGAGAATTACCTGTACTAAAGAAGAAAAATAAAAACTATGAAAACTGCTGAAAACTCAGAATGAGAAAGGTGCTATTTGTAGAATCTGGAGCCTCTCCTAGAATACTGTTCTTAATCAGAAGTAATTCCTTAAAGACCAACCATTGAAAATGAATTCCTTAATACACAATGAATCATGTGCTATGAATAACCAGAAATCAGGCAAAATTCCAGAGTATTTGAAGGCTTGTACCTGATGAAGGACTCACGATCATCTATGAGGAAGGACCAGCGATATCTGATAAGAAGGGGACTGCAGTTGCTCATACTGATGTCACGGATAACTTCTGTGTCATTCAAGATGCAGCCAAAATCGAGATCCATTGTTTGGAAGTGGAGGTTTGGGAAATGCACTTCTCCCCGGAGATCAACATAGTCCACGTGAGGATGCTCCAAGTAACGCAAAACAAGAACCTCTTCCAATACGCGACTACACAGATCATCTCTATAGACAGGGTTAAACCTGACTGAAAGATGATGTATCTCTCCAATGTCCATTTTTAAAGGCTGAATTGGAATCAAAGTAAAATACACATTAGTGATTAGTTTGGGCACGATGGGTTCTGTGCATGTTTTTAAATGGCTAAAGCATACCTTGAGGACATTCTAGGGAAAAAAGGAAATTGGAGCTCTGTTTTTCCAGTTACATATGTATCTATGTGTACATTTATTTATTCATTGAAGTTTACTGGCCTCCCAACTCTGGTAGACTCTGAATGGACTAAAGCAGGGGTCCCCAACCACTGGGCCGCGGACCGGTCCCGGTCCGTGGAGCACTCTGTACCGGGCCGCAAAGGAAAAAAAATAAAAAAAATTGGCGGTTTTCTTCGCCTTCGGTGAATGCTGCTGGGATCGGGGATCAAGGACACAAATGAGAGAAGGGGAGGGAGGAAGCAACCGAAGCCTGTCCTGCTCTCTGGCTCAGTGGCTTCGGCTTCCTCCCGCCTCGTTCCTCTCTCAGTTGCTCTCTCGCTCCTCCACCAGCCCAGGAAGAAACTGCTTCAAAGAAGCCGGGGGGGGTGTGGCTTTTCCTGTCGGCGCAGCTCCTCCGAAGCGCCCGTTTCACCCCCACCCCGCCGCCAATCAATCCAGGTTCAATCCAGTGCTCCGTTCTGCCTGCCTGCCTGCCTGCCTTCGTCTCTGGTAGTTTCGGAGCAGCTTCGGCTGAGAATAATAACTATTCGCCTCTTTTTCTCAGCCGAAGCTGCTCCGAAACTACCAGAAACCAAGGCAGGCAGGCAGGCAGGCAGAACGGAGCACTGGATTGAACCGCGGGCGGCGGGGCGGGGCAGGGCGTGAACGGGCGCTTCAGAGGATCCGAAACCACCAGAAACGAAGGCAGGCAGGCAGAACGGAGGATTGAACCGTGGGAGGCGGGGTGGGGGTGAACGGGCACTTTGGGGAAGCTGCGCCGACAGGAAAAGCCACCCTGCCGGCTTCTTTGAAGCAGTTTCTTCCTGGGCTGGTGGAGGAGTGAGAGAGCGACTGAGAGAGGAACGAGGCAGACACCTGAGGGATGAGGCTGAGGGAGGGAGGGAGACACCTGAGGGATGGGGCTGATGAAGGCAGGGCCAAGAGGCGAGGCTTCTCAGCCGTCCTGCAGGGACTATCTGTCGCTCAGGGTTGCAATGAGGAGGCATTGGCGTTCCCTGAACTTGGTGGTTTGCTGGCAGACGTTTTATTACCCGACTAGGTAACAACATCAGATGTTACCTAGTCAGATAATGAAACGTCTGCAAGCAAACCATCAAACTCGGACACCCCCCCACCCGGTCCTTGAAAAAGTGTTTCTGAGTGAAACTGGTCCCTGGCACAAAAAAGGTTGGGGACCACTGGACTAAAGCACTTAGCAGAAGTCAGATGGGGGATGAGCAAGAGAAAGCCAAGGATGTGGACAGCAGCTAAGGGGGGGGGTAACAAAGGGGGGGGGAGTAACAGAAAGCACTGGAAAGAGGAGGGGGAGAACAGTTATTGGGATCTCTTCATTCGCCAAACATGTAAAGCTGTCCAACTCCATAAGGACTCTGACTGGGTACAGTATTAGGAACAGATTAGAATGATTAACAAATCTGAAAATATAGATTACAATGGTATGAAAGTATAGATTATGATAATATGTTACACTAGGGGATAGAAGGGAGAGAGGTGAGTCACACCAACCTTCCCTAACTCAGCCTGGATGAGATTGGCTCTGGGATCCCTGCAGGTTTGATTCTGCCCCAAACCCTAAGCAACAAAAATGTTCTGTCAAACCAAAATTTGAAACTTGGCAGAATTTCCAAAATGTGATTTGCTTGTTTTGGTTTTGAAACAAAACACATTTTCTGTTTCCTGCACATTACTAATTGTAGTTTTCTTATACTATAATTAACATTCTAGCATCCGAGACCGTTCTGCTATCCAGGATGTGGACTGAATTCAGATGAAGGATTTACCTGTTCAGGAACTGGAATCTTTTTGTGATTTGCATCACAGAGGGCAAAGGGCTCTTGCAAAGAAAGGACAACCCTGAGTGGCAAAGAGGAAACATTCTTCAAGGACAGAGGCTTATACTCTGCGGTCAAAATATCACTGGGGTTCTGGAGAAAAAAACGAAAGACTGAGCAAGAATCACACACACAGGCAAGTGCCACACACAAAATAAGGTAGAATCACATTATGACAATGTTAGAAAGGGCCACTGAAGTTCAGTCTATTACTTCGTGCATGAACCGATCAGTGGCCCATGGCAATTAATGAAGGACCACTCGATTTTAAAAAATATTTCCAAAGAATATTGATGTCTTCTGTACCACTAGACTAATTATGATGCAACTCTTCCTTTGCTCAAGAGTATCTGCTCAGCACATCACATGTTTGGTGCTGCCGGGCATGGAGGCTGGACAGAGAAAAAGAGAAAGAGGGAGAATAGTATCCTTGACAGGGAAGGAAGAAAGAAAAGTATGTCAGAAAAAGGAAAATGGCTGTACAAATGATGAACAGGTATCACCAAAATATATAAATGCTTGCTGAAATTTGAAATAGAGCATGTGTACATGAAAGAATAGATAATAAAATGGGTTAATAATTTTGGACATAACATACTGTTGGAGCAGTAGGAATATAGGTGGTTAAAAGGATGAACATTCACATTATGTTATAACCCAGAAGAGATTTTTTACAAAATGATGTGCTTTTGGTATATGACTTCAGAAAAGTTATCTAGAATGTATAAAAGTATCTCAGGTTTATATTGGAAATGTGGATGACATGAAGGGTTATTTTTAAGCAAATCTGGCTTCACCTATTGACTTTGTTTATTAGAGGTCCCCTAGGAAGGTTGCAAATGACAGTCCCAGGACCCCAGGATCCTGCAACCATTGTAAATACATGCCAGTTGTTAAGCACCCAAAGTTTGATACATGACTTGGGGCTGCTTGACAGACATGAAAGATTATGTGTTTATATGGTTGCTGTGAGACAACTATATGCACAAAAAAAGAAAGTTTCTGAAATATCCAAAATAAGTGGTTGGTGAAAATGGCAGAACTAGCAAAGACAGCAAAATTAATTCGTTTGCTTAGAATCTTTAATAAATCACAAGATGTGTTATGTTCCTTCTTACTTCAAACACTCCACTATCATCCCAGTGCCAAAGAAACCCTCCATCAAGGAGTTAAATGACTACAGATTTGTTGCTCTGACATCCATAATTTTGAAAACCTTTGAAAGATTAGTGCTGGCCCACCTGAAAATCATCACAGATCTGTTGCTAGACCCCTTTCAATTTGCCTACTGAGCAAATAGATTGGCAGATTATGCTGTCAATATGGCTCTGCACTACATTTTATAACATCTTGAATTTCCAAGGACCTATGCAAGGGTCCTTTTTGTAGGCTTCAGCTCAGCATTCAGTACCATTATTCCAAATATACTCACTAAATTGATTCAGCCAGCCGTGCCTGACCATACTTGCAAATGGATCATAAACTTTTTTTTTTTTTAGAATAGAATACTTTATTGGCCAAGTGTGATTGGACACACAAGGAATTTGTCTTGGAGTAAATACTCTCAGTATACATAAAAGAAAAGATACATTCATCAGAAGTCGAGAATCATAAGGTACGACACTTAATGATAGTCATAGGGTACAATAAGCAATCAAATCCTACTAGGAAACAGTCAATATAAATCGTAAGTATACCAGCGACAAAGTTACAGTCATTCAGTCACAGTAGGAGGGGATGGGTGATAAGGAGTGATGACAAGATTAACAGTAATAGTAGTGCAGACTTTGTAATAGTTGAACAGGGTTGATGGAATTATTTGTTTAGCAGAGTGATGGCTTTCGAGAAAAAACTGTTCTTGTGTCTAGTAGTTCTAGTGTGGAATGCTCTATAGCATCGTTTTGAGGGAAGAAGTTGAAACAGTTTATGTCCAGGATGTGAGGGGTCTGTAAATATTTTCACAGCCCTCTTTTTGACTTGTGCAGTATACAGGTGCTCAATTGAAGGTAGGTTGGTAGTAATTGTTTTTTTCTGCAGTCCTAATTACTCTCTGGAGTCTGTGTCTTTCCTGTTGGGTTGCAGAACCAAACCAGATAGTTATAGAGATGCAGATGACAGACTGGATCAGCAGCTCCTTGGGCAGTTTGAGCAGTTTGAGTTGGCACATAAAGAACATTTTTTGTTGTGCTTTTTTGATGACATTTTTGATGTTAGGTGTCCATTTTAGGTCATGTGATATAGTAGAACCCAGAAATTTGAAGGTCTCTACTGTTGATACGATGTTGTCTAGTATTGTAAGAGGTGGTAGTATGGGAGGGTTTCTTCGAAAGTCTACCACCATTTCTATGGTTTTGAGTGTGTTCAGTTCCAGATTGTTCTGGTTACACCACGAGGCAAGTTGTATAACCTCCTGTCTGTATGCGGATTCGTCATTGTCTCGAATGAGACCAATCACTGTTGTGTCATCAGCAAACTTCAGTATTTTAACAGATGGATCGTTTGAGATGCAGTCATTGGTATATAGGGAGAAGTGGAGAAAGCACACAGTCTTGGGGGGGGGGGGGCTGTGCTGATTGTACAGGTATCGGATGTGATTCTGCCTAGCTTCACCTGCTGCTTCCTGTCTGTTAGGAAGCTTATGATCCACTTACAAGTGTGTTCAGGTACTGCTGGTTGGTTTAATTTACTTAGAAGAGTGTCTGGAATGATGATATTGAATGCTGAACTGAAGTTTACAAAGAGGACCCTTGCACAGGTATTTGGAGATTCAAGGTGTTGTAGGATGTAATGCAGAGCCATGTTAACAGTATCATCTGTTGATCTATTTGCTTGGTATGCAAACTGCATGGGATCTAACAGCAGATCTGTGATGGTTTTCAGGTGGGACAGCACAAGCCTTTCAAAGATTTTCATAACTACAGATGTTAGACCAACTGGTCTGTAGTCATTCAGTTCCTTGATGGAGGGCTTCTTTGGCGCTGGGATGATAGTGGAGCATTTGAAGCAGGAAGGAACATAGCACATCTCTAGTGATCTATTGAAGATTCGGGTGAAGACTGGGGCCAATTGGTCAGCACAGACATTTAAGCAAGAAGGAGTTATCTTGTCTGGCCCTTGTGCTTTTCCTGGCTTTTGTCTGTGTAATAGATCTTGCACTTCTTTTTCTGTGATCACCAGAGATTGTGAATCCAGTGGATTGGGGCCAGTTGTAGGAGGCTTGGCTGTTGTTGGTGTGTTTGAGATGTGGGTTGTGGAGATAGATGGCTGTAGTTTCCTTTCAAACCTGCAGTAAAACACATTCAGGTCATCTGCTAGTTGTTGATTTCCTTCTGCCTGGGAAGGAGGTTTGCTGAAGCCAGTGATGTTTTTAAGAGTTTTCCACATGTTTGCTGGTTCATTTGTTGAGAACTGATTCCTTAACTTTTCAGAGTAGCTTCTTTTTGCTGCTCTGATCTCTCATTAATAATATGTTTCTGGCCTGGTTGTATAGCATTCTGTCACCTTTTCTGTAGGCTTCCTCTTTGGAACGGCGTAGCTGCTTAAGTTTAGCTGTGAACCAAGGTTTATTGTTACTAACATATGATGTTACAGTATCTGTGAGCTCATCTAGGTCTGCAGAGGCATCTTCAAAAACATTCCAATCAGTGCAATCAAGGCAGGCCTAGAGTTTCAACTTTGCCTCATCCGACCAAGTCTTCACTGATTTAATTGTTGGTTTCATGGTTTTAAGTCTTTGTCTGTTAGGCAGGTACAAGGTGAATCATGCAGTGGTCAGAGTGTCCCATAGCTGCTTGTGGTAAAGACCTATAAGCATCTTTTACTATTGTGTAGCAGTGGTCTAAAATATTTTTGCCTCTGGTGGGACAATTTACATGCTGACAATATTTTGGGAGCTCTTTCCTTAAATTTGCTTGTTTGAAAGCCTCTATAATTTGATCAGCAAGAGTTTGTAATGCCTTGTTTACACAGGGTTGTGGAGGAACATACACAGCTATTAGGAGAAATGAAGAGAACTCACGTGGAGAATAAAATGGCTTGCAGTTGATATGTAAAGACTAAGTTTTCATCACAGAACTTATATATTATAGTTATATCCTGAGACCAGCTGTTGTTGATATATAAACATAATCCTCAACCCTTTGTTTTACCTGATGTCTCTTCAAGTCTGTCTGATCTAAATGTCTGAAATCCTGGAATGTATATGGCGTTGTCCCCATGTGGATTAAGCCAGGTTTCAGTAAAACAAAGAACAGCTGAATTGTAAAAATCAGAATTCCATCTATTTAAGAGACGAATTTCATCCATCTTGTTAGCAAGTGAGTGTAAATTAGTCAGAAAGATTGACGGGAGAGGAGTTCCCCCCCCCCCCATTCCTTAGTCTGTTTAAAATTCCCACTCGTTTACCTCGTCTCCTTTTTCGGTGTTGCTGCTTCTTTGCTTTCTTTGTTGTAATCCATAGTACCGGGGAATTAGCTAGAATCTCCTCCGCGTTTGCAAAGACAGATGGGGGTGAGGAATCAGAAAGCTGCTCCTTAAGGAAACATTACCTAATTCTTAGCAGATGGTCTTGTGAGTATGAAATCCTTAGTGAATTGCAGATAATAATAAGGAATAAAGAAACCACTAGAGAGCATTTCACCGAGGCAGCTGTCGTCGGTGCCAACTTGGCAGAAAAAAAAAAAGTTCCTACCAGATAGGAAGCAGCAGGTGAATGTAGGCAAAACCATATCAGATACTTATACAATTAACATTCTCCACTTCTCTCTCTGTACCAACAACTACATCTCAAACAATCCCTCTGTTAAAGTACTGAAGTTTGCAAGATGATACAACAGTGATTGGTTTCACTTGAGACAACGACAAATCTGCATACAGATGGAAAGTTGAACAACTAGCCTTGTGGTGCAGCCAGAACAATCTTGAGCTGAACACACTCAAAACTGTAGAAATGCTAGTAGATTTTAGGAGAAGCCCTCCTATTCTATCCCCTCTTACAATACTAGAAAATAGTATCAACAGTACAGACCTTCAACTTTTAGGTTCTATAATATTTCAAGATTTAAAATGGATATCTAACATCAAAAATGTCACTAAAAAAAGGGCAACAAAGAATGTTTTTCCTGCACCATTTCAGAAAGCTCAGGCTTTCAAAGGAGCTGCTGATCCAGTTCTACAGAGGAATTACTGAGTCTGTCATCTGCACCTCTGTAACTGTCTGGTTTGGCATAGCAACCAAACAAGACTGACACAGACTTCAATGGATAATTAGGACTGAGGAAAAAAAACAATCTGCCTTCCATTGAGGACCTTATATACTGCACGAGCTAAAGGTATTTTCCCCCTATGCCCTCACTCTGTGCTGTTGTATGTGGATTCTCCCACTAAATGCAAGCACGGGATAAACTGAGCCTGGTTTCTTCTCAGTTTTTGGCCACAAACTACTAGCAAAAATGGCATTTGATCACAAGGTAAGGAGGCATTGAGAAATGTTTCCCCTTTTGTATTTGAGCATCCAAGAACGGACAGGAAAGACAAAGAAAAAGAGAGCAAGGAAGGGAAAACAAGGAAAGAGGGGAAGAAGAAAGGAAAATGAAGAGGGAAGCAAAAAGAAGAAAAGGGAAAAAAGGAGAGGAAAGGGATTATAATGAGAGGGAGTCAGATTCTGAGGGAAGTCCTGCCTTAGCACTTGGCCACCAGCAGCCCTGCCTTTTCGTCATTCCCTTGTCCCCTCCCCTTGTCCCCTCCTGGTGGTCTCCCATCCTATTCTGAGAATGCTTTGGTTACAAAGCTGGCTCTGAAGCAAGCTCTGAACCGGTAGGAATTTTTTTTGAAACGCACCACTTTCCTATTACATATTTCCTTATCTTCTTATGACTATAACTTTGTTGCTTATATCTTACTATTTATATTGATTGTTTTATTTAGTATCCTAGTATGATTTATGTTGATTGCTTATTTAGTATCCTATGACTATCATTGAGTCTTGTAACTTATGATTTATGATTATTGCATTTTATGATTATGATCAAGATTTATCACTTGTTGCTTGTATATGCACTGAGAGCTTATGCACTGGAGACAAATTCCTTGTGTGTCCAATCACACTTGGCCAATAAAGCTATTCTATTCTGTTCTGTTCAGTCCTAGTCCTATTCTTTATTCACAGTGTTTTTCAACCTTGGTAACTTGCAGATGTTTGGAGTTCAGCTGCCAGAAACCTCAGCCAGCATGTGTGGAGTTCCAGTCCATGCATCTTCAAGTTGCCAAGGTCAAGAAACATCAGCTTAAAGAGTGACCAGCGACTTCATGTATTAGTGACATAAGGAAATCCCTTATGATTTTTTACTGAAAAAAAGAAAAAATGAACTCATGATTTATAAATCTGATGATTAGAATGGGTACATTATGGAAAGAAGGAAAATTTGATGTAAACTTAAAATGAGATGATAAAATATGAATGTATTTATGACATTACATGGGAGGACATGGAACGAGAAGAGGCTCAGGGCATTGGCAATGCCAATGGGGGTGGGCAATCCTAGACAAACTGGGGAGAGGGCTTTACCAGTCATGCAGCAAAGGACAAGAAAGAGAGGTGAGGCTCACCAGTCTTTCCTGGCTCAACCCATAATACTCCTCTGGCTATTCTCTCAACCAAAATCGAGAACAGACAAAATGTTGCAGGTTTTGGTTTAGCTAAATGTTCAAAAGCATGTTTGTTTCAGGCTCAAAATGAAATGCAGTCACCCTCATTTGCCTTTCCTCAAGGTAAAACACATGCAGCATGCACCCGCTTCATTCATTAAGCCATCCAGCCCAAGCTTACCTTATTTTTTTAAAAAAATGTTTATCAAATTTAGAGACCTGCCCCTTCTCACACACAGAGTGACTCATTTGTTAATCAGAATGTCTCTGTGCGCATTATATTTATTGTTAAACTAACTTTATTCTTAGGAATTTTTTGCTGGGAATTTTTTTTTCTGCCCTCCTATTCAAAAAATATCTGTCCACCTAATAGGAATGCCTCTGCAGACTCTGGACTGGGACAAAGCGAAAGAAAAAAAATGCAAACATGCAAAAGAGGCCCTTCATCCTGCAGTGAATAGATGATGATGATGATGATGATGATATATGACTACCTTATCAGCATAGGTATCTTAATATCCAGAATAAATCCCCCTTTTCAAGTCCTAGCCATGTATGTATCAGCTCCTTTATTGAGCCTCCCCCATATCACCGGCAATCTTTCCAAGGATTTGGGATTCCAATGTCCCAGAGGGAGCTGGCTCACAGAATTCTTGGCCTAGTCTGATGTCAACAGCCAGAAGGATGTCATGGTATCAAAGCACTCACCTTCTCCACGCGGAAAGTAACTGCTCTGGAGGAAATCTGCAGAACTGGTGCGATGAATTCACAAGTGACATCAACCTTCATGATACGTTCTTTTCCAGACTGCTTCCCTATGATCGCATGGCACAGCAATCTCTCCTTTACCAGCTGTTCAGGCAAAGAGTAGCAGAATGAATGGGACTAAGCCAGCTGGCCAAAAACCCCATAGGTCCCTTGGAAATACCTGCTTCAGTCAGTTTGCCACCTAAACTTCCAGTTCACCAGGTGCTCTTCCCAGCACTGGTTACTTTGTGTGGACCGGCTACATTTCTTCTCCTTTGCTATATAGGACTTGGAGCTGAAACAGGGAGATTATCTGCTTCCATCAGGAAGCTATTTCCCTATGAGCCTCCTATGAGCAGCCTCCTTCCAAGGGTCTCCAACCTTGGCAACTTTAAGACTTGGCAGCCAATCATGGTCTTCTAAAGAAGGGTTCTCCAATCTTGCCAACTTGTGGATTTCAATTCTCATGCTGAGAAATTTTGGGACTAGAAGTCCACAAGTTTTAAAGTTGACAAGGTTAGAAACCTCCACTCTAGAGCAGTGTTTTACAACCATAGGCATGTTAAGAGGTATGGACTTCAACTTCCAGAATACCTGGAAGTTTAAGTTCCACAAGTCTTAAAGTTGCCAAGTTTAAAGTTGCCCGACTCTAGCAATTAAGATATTCCCTTCCCAACTATGACTGCTTTTGCTGGCCTGCCCTACTTGGAACCAAACCACCCAGAAAAAAACAACAGCTTCATCCTGCATGCTGTTTGCCCTTCTTGCAAATATTTTGGAATAAAGATTCCTTCTGCCATCTCAATGGGAAAGGCTTCCCCCACAGAAAGCCTCTGCTATCCAGTTCCTAACGCCTGCTCAGGAAGGCTCCCAACACGAACCCCGGGCCATAGACATGCCCTACTCAAAGGGGGGGGCCAGACTGAAAAGGTCCCCTGAAAAGGAGCTGAAGGAGATTTTCTCAGGGCTCCAGAAGCAAGAGCAAGTTATATCATTTCCCGGTAGCAGATGTAAAGATACAATTTGTAGCAACATATTCATCTTGTCATCACTCCTTATCACCCATCCCCTCCTACTTGTGACTGTATGACTGTAACTTTGTTGCTTGTAACTTTGTTCCTAGTATGATTTGATTGCTTATTGCACCCTATGACTATCATTACGTGTTGTACCTTATGATTCTCGACTCCTGATGAATGTATCTTTTCTTTTATGTATACTGAGAGTATTTACACCAAGACAAATTCCTTGTGTGTCCAATCACACTTGGCCAATGAAGTATTCTGTTCTATTCTATTCTATTCTATTCTATTCTATTCTATTCTATTCTATTCTATTCTATTCTATTCTATT